TGGGTACCGAAAGAATGGGTACAATGCCCAACAACAAATGTTGTCCCAAACCAACAGCGACCGCTGTTGGGCAGGCGGCCTTCTGTCTCGAATGGGGCCGCGGCGGCGCGGACAGCGAATCCTGCTCAGAATGAACACGAACTGCTGTTGGGCATCGTACCCATTCTTTCCGTGCCCATCTCGGGCGTCCAACGAGATCTGGGCGGCTGGAAAGTCTATACCCTTACGGTGGCACCGTTCTTCGCTCGCTGAACGTCGGGCATCCCGGAGATCTGGGCGCTGCGATTTTTTCGTACCGGGCGTCTTCGCGGTGTGCCGGGCCCGCAGGGCCCCCCCCCCACACGCGTCGAGCTGGCCCGAAAAAACTGCGGCAGGCGGACGGGCGCAGGGCCCCATATCGGCTCCGGCTCGAGAACTGCGCCGCAGGCTGGGGTCCAAGGGCTCCCTCGGCGGCGAGCCAGCGAGGGAGGAGGTGAGAGGGAGAAGGCCTTCTCAGACCGCAGCGAGGGCTTCTCAGGAGCCTTCCGGCCTTCTGAAAACCTGTTCTGCGCCTTCGGGGAGGGCTCAGACTGATCAGAAGGCCCGAGGCCTTCCGGGCCCTCTGAGGAGGCCCGCCCCCTCTGGCCTCCATCCTGGGCTCGCCGCCAACTCCAGCGGTGATTCTTCGCGATGTTTGCATGTTTCCCGCAACGTTGGATCTCCCATGGCGGGGGATCTCCGAGCGCTGGCAGGCCTGGAGGACGTGCCGGGCGCTGCGGCCGCTCGCAGAGCACCCTGGGACGCTCTGCGAGCGTCTCATATCCCGAACATGCTCGCGTCCTGAAGAAATCGCGCACGGAGATTTTTCCGCAGTTCTTGGCGGGCCCCCGGGCCGTCAAGTGAAGGCTCAGGAGGAGCAGCCTGTCCCGGGGAAAGGGTCGGGACCTCCGCAGGCCGCGCATTGAAACACATGATCGACCCACGAGCCCAGAAAGGGATTGAGAACTGCGAGGCCCAGACGGGACCGGGGCCAGGATTTCTGGGGCGGGTTGTTGTTTGATTAAAGGGACCCCAGATCGGGACAGAATTGTGTCAGGGAGCCAGGGCCAGGATGTCCAGGGCGGATTGTTGTCTGTTTCAGAGGACCCGAGATCGGGACAGAATTGCGTCGGGGGACTGGGGCCAGGACTTCTGGGGCGGGTAAATGTTGTTTGGTTGAACGGGCCCCAGATCGGGACAGAATTGTGTCACGGGACTGGGGCCGGGATTTCCAGGGCGGATTGTTTTGTTTCAGAAGACACGAGATCGGGACAGAATTGTGTCACGGGACTGGGGCCAGGACTTCTGGGGCGGGTTGTTGTTTGATTAAATCGGCCCCAGATCGGGACAGAATTGTGTCAGGGGACCTGGGCCAGGATTGATGGGGCGGATTGTTGTTTGATTGAAGGGACCCCAGATCGGGACAGAGTTGTGACAGGGGGCCGGAGCCAGGATTTCTGGGGCGGGTTGTTGTTTGCTTACAGGGACCCCAGATCGGGACAGAATTGTGTCACGGGACCGGGGCCGCGATTTCTGGGGCGGGCTGTTATTTGTTGAAACATGATCGACCCACGATCCCAGAAAGGAATATAGAAATGTAAGGCATTGCAACATTTCAAAGACACCTGATTGGGCGACGGGCACATGCAATGCTGAATGTATCGATGATGATGTACTGTGCCGAGGGCTGTGCTGTGCTACGCCGTGCTGAACTGCGATGTGCCATGCCGCGATTGTGCTCTATATAGCGTTGTGGATCGAGTCCTCCCTGGCATCCGAGTCCTCACCGAACTGATCTGGAGCGTAAGCTCGAGCTGCCTGAGCAGATGGTAGCTGCCCCAGAACTAATCGACAGAGGGAACATGCCAGGAGGACGCGCCGCGGAACGTCCCAAGGGACGCGCCAGGCGACGTGCCAGGGGACGTGCCATGGGCACGCACCGCGGGACGTGCCAAGGGGACGCGCTACGGAACGTGCCAATGGACGTGCACGTGCCAGGGGACGCGACGTGCCAGGTGGACTCGCCACGGAACGCGCCAAGGAACGTGCCAAAGTGCATAGTTGAGTGTATCGATCTTGATGTACCGTGCCGACGGCTGTGCTGTGCTGGGCCGTGCTGAACTGCGATGTGCCATGCCGCGAGTGTGCTCTATATAGCGTTGTGGATCGAGTCCTCCCTGGCATCCGAGTCCTCACCGAACTGATCTGGATCGTAAGCTCGAGCTGCCTGAGCAGATGGTAGCTGCCCCAGAACTAATCGACAGAGGGAACATGCCAGGAGGACGCGCCGCGAACGTCCCAAGGGACGCGCCAGGCGACGTGCCAGGGGACGTGCCATGGGCACGCACCGCGGGACGTGCCAAGGGGACGCGCTACGGAACGTGCCAATGGACGTGCACCGCGCGACGTGCCAGGGGGACTCGCCACGGGACGCTCCGCGGAACGTGCCAGGCAGCATGCCAGGCTGCAATGCTAAGGGTATCGATATTGATGTACCGTGCCGAGGGCTGTGCTGTGCCTGGGCGACCTGGACACGTGAAAACACGCGTTTCGCTCAAGACGTTGTCAGCACATCCTCATGCTAGACATCCGCCTGGGCAACCTGGACACGTGCAAACAAGCGTCTCGCTCGAGACATCCTCAACAAATGCTCATGCTAGACATCCGCCTGGGCGACCTGGACACGTGAAAACAAGCCTCTGGTTCGAGACATCCTCAACAAATCCTCATGCTAGACATCTGTCTGGGCCACCTGGAGGCGTGAAACCAAGCGTCTCGCTCGAGACGTCCTCAAGACTTGGGAACGTGAAAACAAGCATTTCACTTGAGAGATCCTCTAAATTCTGGTCCCCAGGAGAGGACAATCTATAACACAAAACAAGAGTTTCGCTCGAGACATCCTCAACAAATTCTGACAAACAAGCGTTTCGCTAAGGACATCCTCAAATTTTAATTCGCCGGCCCTCTTCCCACTCGTTATTTATCGCAAAAGAAATCCGCCGGCCCTCTTCCTGTCAGATCCGGGGATAAACCTACTAAAAGAGAACCCTGGGCCTGCGCCCTTTCCGGGAAATGCAAAGCGCTTGCAATGGGACATTCTGGCTTGCGAAGCGCGGGCTGCAGAGCGCAGCGGCTAATTCAGTTCCTGGGGGGGGAATGGGGAATGTCAATACGCGTCCACGGTTCTTGTTGCGAATTACATGTTCCCGATTTCGGCTTCTGGTGTTGCCCCTCCGACTAGGATTCAATCTGGTTCACAGCACTCGGACCACCTACCAATGAGCGGACGGCAGGCCTCGTTCGATATCATCTGTTTGTTGTCTCATCATCTCCCCTCCCTGTCGGCAAGATGGGAGCAAAGGGCCGAGAGACGGTAGCTGGAGTGGGAGATGGGGTTTTCAGGGCGAGTGTTGAAGTCGGAGTCAGATGAACTGGAGTCGGGAAGTCGGAGTCAGATGAACTGGAGTCTGGGAACCACGGAGGCTGGGGTCGGAGTGGTGGGGCACGATCGTTCGAAAGATGACGATTGGACATGGAAGCCAGGAGGCTGGGTACCTGGGAAGAGGGTACAACATGTGCGTCCACCAGGGTTATGATGGATACGCCCAGAAGGCGTGAGTTCGCCGGACAGCACTGTAGCCACCAGCCTTCACTCTCCAAGGCGCGAACCCACCGCCGCGCCCCCTCGCAAGGCTGAGGCGTGGTAGGATGCCAAGGGCTGTAAGACAGGGTCCAGGGTTTCTGTAATCTTCTAAGGACCCCCCGTCTCCCCACACTCACGCGCGTGCATCGCCCCGTTCCTTTCTTCATCAAAGGCGGTGGACCGGATAGCGCGCCCGAGGCCACGATCCTTCGTAGAAGGCAAATCATCCGCGCCTCCGAGGCTAGGATCCCTTGTCAAACATGTGTTCCGCCCTCCCGAATCCACGATCCCCTACAAAAGACAAATGGATCCGCACTCCCGAACTTGCGGGATTGTCGAGGCAAGCAACCAAAACCGCCAAGATGGCCCAGGATGCCTCCAAGATGGCCCGAATGCAACCCCAGATGGCTTCAACACGACCCCCAAAAGCCCCCAAGATGGCCACAAGATGGTCACAAGAGGACCCCCAGTGGGGCCCGAAGAAACCCAAATCATATATCCCCCTATCATTTCTAAAAAGTTTGGGGCTTCGTCACCGGTTCAGGCTTCCTGGAGGTCCGGACGGCCCTAGAATCCTCCGATGGCTCTAAGACGGCCCAAGAGGGCCCCCGAATGGCCCAATGATCCTCCACGATGGCCTCAAGACAGTTCAAGAGGACCCCTAGATGGCCTGGGATGGCCTGAGCTGGCCCAAGAGGGCCTCGGGAGGGTCCCAAGACGGCCTTGGACTGGCGGCCTTGGAGAGCCCCTCGACGACCCAAGACGGCCCAAAGACGGCCCCACGACGGCCGCAAGAGACCTACCAGACGGCAAAAAGTGCCCCAAAACAGCAACGAAAGCCCCAAGACGGCCCAAGTGGGCCCCAAGTGGCCCAAGGGACCCAGACGGCAATCCCACAAGAGCCCAAGAAAGGACTGAAGAAAGGGAGGAAGGCGACGAAGACGAGAAGAGAACCCCCGACACGACGCGGAAGAGCGTGTCACGTGCGACGGCTCTCCCAACCCTCGGGACACAAGGTGTCACACGTTACGGCCTCCTGTGCGCCCCAGAAAACAGTCGCCGCCCAAGGTGCTGGGCTGGCACGATGGCAGGATTTGCCGCAGGCAGCTGGATTCTTAGGAAGACAGGATTTGCCGCAGGCAAGACTTTGCTATCAAGAAGCAAAATCACAAGACCATGCCACGAGACATAAAATCTGCATGCCTAGGCGGCGATGGCTTCAAGGAAGCCGGAAAACACGGAAGAGAAGGGAGAGGTATGGGCAAGATCAGATTCCAGCGGCTGCGATCGCCCTGCCAACTGGTACTTGGCGATGAACCAAGCACACAACGAAAGGTCCTCACCTTGGCTGCTGCACGCGCCCCTCAACCTTGCCCTTCATCTCCTCCAGCATGACCCGTACCTTCGCCGTTTCAATCGCGCTCGCCTGGCCCTTCAGGTACCAAGCCCCCTCCACAAACTCTTCCAAACTGACTTGTTCGTCGCCATTATTGTCCAGCACCGCGAACGCAGAGACCACATTGCCGATTTCGAGTCCCATTCCAGATAGCCATTTTCTAACCTCATTCCTCTGCAAGATTTGCTCGAGCTCTGACTTGTCGACGAACCCATCACCGTCCTGGTCCGCGGTCTCGAAGAACACCTTTATCTTCTTCGTGTTGCTCTTGATTTTGCGCATCGTCTGGGTCGTCATGCTACCGTCGTCCAACGACGCCTTTTGAAAAGTCTCATGAAGGAACACATCCGCCATCACCTAGAGTAGGGCATAAAAGATGGAAGCACGACACCCTGTCTGATGAGGTAGACGCTCACTTGATGGTTTCTTCAAGCAGAGTGTAGGCACGTGTACTGCTGCTTTGCAAGCGTCTGGGCCGCTGAACCGCTGCGTGCCAAGAACCCATGTTTCGGAGTGCTTCTACCCCAGGATTAGACGGTGGCGTTGGCATCATTACCCCCCACCTCGATCACTGCAAAGCCTAAAGCCAGTTGGTGGACCACGCAGAGGATCGCGTACCACTCGCTGACTTTGATGAGTTCGCGTGTGGTGGTGTACCAACTGCCAAGGAGCATCTCGAACATGGACATTAACGACTTGCTGAATGTGCCGAAGTGTTCGAATATCGCCTGGCGATCGTCGATGGGGTTCTCGGCGTTGTCCCAGAAACTCTACCTCAATATGTTGAGCAACAGCGCAAAGATCATCTCGACGAGCAATAGCACGCCAGAAGACCAGCCCAGCGCGGACAAGCTGCCTCTGATGGAGGCAAGGACCAAGTACAATTTCTCGTATCGTTCGATAGCGGAAGAGCAAGAAACGATACATGAGCATAACCCACGCAGGCGCGGATAGGAACGCAGGCCTCGCCGGCTCGACCATTCAGTCTTCAGCGAAATCGAAGTCCGCCGCAAGCGCCGATTAGAGTGAGCTTTTCCGCGCAACCAGGAACAGCGCCTCGGTTGGGCAGCGCAGCACTCAGCCTGGTCCGCCCGTTCCGACACCGCGCCACCCAAACCCCCGCATGCATCGCAATAAACCTACAGCGAGATACCAAAACTCCGCTGCAAGCGCCGATGTTGACAAACACTGCGCGGCTGTACAACTTGAGATGATCATCAGAATGCGTGTGTGTGTGTGTGTGCGCGTGGGTGTGTGTGTGTGTGCGTGTGTGTATGTGTGTGTGTGCGAAGGTGTGTGTGTGAGGGTCTGTGTGTGTGTTTGTGTGTGCGTGTGGTGTGCGTGTGTGTGTGTGTGTGTGCGTGGGCGTGTGCGTGCGTGCGTACGTGCGTGCGTGCGAACGTGCGTGCGTGCGTGCGCGAGCGTGCGTGCGAGTGTGCATACGTACGTCCATGCGTACGTGCGTGCGTGTTTGCATGCATAGTTGACCGCGTGCGCGCGTGCGTGCGCGTGCGCGTGCGCGTGTGCGTGTGCGTGTGCGTGTGCGTGTGCGTGCGCGTGTGCATGTGCGTGTGCGCGCGCGTGCGCGTGCGCGTGTGCGTGCGCGTGCGCGTGCGCGTGCGCGTGTGCGCGTGCGTGTGCGTTTGCGTGTGCGTGTGCGTGTGCGTGTGCTTGAGCGCGTACGCGTGCTTGTGCGCGTGTTCGCGCGCGTACGCATGCGCGTGCGCGCACGCGTTCGTGTGGTCGGTTGTTCGTGTGTGTGTGCGTGTGTGTGCTAGTGTGTGTGCCTGTGTGTGTGTGCGTGGCTGTGTCTGCGCTTGTGTCTGTGTTGTGTATGTGTCTGTGTGTGTGTCTATGTCTGTGTCTGTGCCTGCGTCTGTGTCTGTGTGTGTCTGTGTATGCCTGTGTCTGTGCCTGTGTCGGTGTCCGTGTCTGTGTCTGTGTCTGTGTTTGTGTCTGTGTTTGTGTCTGTGTTTGTGTCTGTGGCTGTGCCTGTGCCTGTGTCTGTGTCTGTGTATGTGTCTGTGCGTGTGGCTGTGTGTGCGTGGCTGCGTGTGTGCGTCTGTGTGTCTGTGTGTCTGTGTGGTTGTGTTGTGTCTGTATGTCAGCGTGTGTGTCTCCGTGTCCCTGTGTCTCTTTGCCCTTGTGTCCCTATGTCTGTGTGTCTGTGTGTCTGTGTCTCTGTGACTCTGTGTCTCTGTGTCTCTATATCTCAGTGTCGCTGTCTCGCTGTGTCTCTGTGCGGCTGTGTCTCTGTGTCTCGTTGTCTCTGTGTCCGTGTGTCCCTGTGGACTCTGCGACTCTGTGTCTCTGCGTCTCTGTGCCTCGATGCCTGTGTGTCTCTGTGTCTCTGTGTACCTCTGTCTCTCTCTCTGTCTCTGTCTCTGTCTCTCTCTGTCTCTCTCTCTCTCTCTCTCTCTTTCTGTCTCTGTTTCTGCCTCTGTCTCTGTCTCTGTCTCTCTCTCTGTCTTTCTCTCTCTCTCTCTCTTTCTCTGCCCCTCTGTATGTTACGTCTCTCTCTGTCTCTCTCTCTCTCTCTCTCTCTCTCTGCCTCCCTGTATTTTCCTGTCCCTCTCTCTGTCCACCTCTGTCTCTCTGTATTTCTCTGTCTCTCTCTGTACCTTCCTGTTTCTCTCTGTTTCTCTCTCTGTTTCTCTCTCTGTTTCTCTCTCTGTTTCTCTCTCTGTCTCCCTCTGCGTCTCTTTGTGTCTCTCTGTGTCTCTCCCTGTCTCCCTCCGTCTCTCTCTCTTTCTCCTGTCTCTTTCTCTCTCTCTCTCTCTCTCTCTCTGTCTCTTCTCTCTCTCTCTCTCTCTCTCTCTCTCTCTCTCTCTCTCTCTCTCTCTCTCTCTCTCTCTCTCTCTCTCTCTCTCTCTCCCCCTGTCTCTTTGTGTATCTCTGTCTCCTTCGTGCCAGTTTGAAGTGCACCCACTCGTCGCCGCCGTTTTTGTTCAAGCTTTCCGGCGAGAGACGGGCCCGAGGCGCGCTCGCAGCCCGACCCCTCGGCACCCCGGTATCAAGATATCAGCGTTTTGCCAGTTCTGGGTTGACGTGGGCTTATCCTTGACCATGTTGATAGGCAAGACATGATCGCGCTCGCGATGTAGTCCCTCATCATCTGCCTGTTGAAGCCTCTGCCCAGGCTTGCCATCTGTGAAAGTGATGCAGGAAATGCACCCCTCCATGCCATAGTGCAACGAGCGCTGTCGGATGTCCGCCAAGCTTCGAACTCAAATGCTAGGCGGGGGGGCCAGCCTGCCGAGGGGCGGGCGGGCGCGCGCTATTCATTAGCCAATTCGCAGCAGCTGCGGCGACGCTGCGAATCATGAGCGGGCCCGGGGGGGGCGTCTAAAACAACTCCCCCCGAGGCCCGCCCGGCGAGCTCCACCCGCGCGGGCGGGCGAACCTGTTTTTGGCATCGCCCCGACTTGTTCGTAAAAGCGTCGGAGCCCACGGCGACCGGCAGTCCGGCCTCAGACTAGCTCGCCGCGAACTCGACGCAGGTGCGTCGCACCCATGTCTCATGGCGGCCCAACCATCCCAAGAGGATGCAGTTGAGCCGCAATCATTCATCTCGAAGGGGGGTCCAACCACACCGTCGCTGGCCCCCCTCGTTCCCTTCCACGCACCCTCACCAGCGATCACGGGGGCCTCAGCTGTCAGTGTTGCAGCCGTCCGAGCTCCGCGTCCACGATGACCGCCAGTCACTGGCGCTGTCTTGCCATGGGGTGGAGGAATCCGTAGTCTGCTGCTCCGTGGCGACGCGCGCGCGCCATGCTTGGCGCCGCGGCACCTCTGCACCTCGGTGCCACGGAGCATCCCGGCGAAAGCCGCGGGCGGCGGGAGGACGCGCAGCCGGCGCGTGCCCAGGAGAGGCTGCCACCGAGCCCTGTGGAGCGTCCCGCTGCCTCGGGTTCTCAGCACGGCGCCGCGTGGACTCTTGTTGATCATCTGGCGCGCGGCTGGTGTCCCTCTTCGTTCCTTTGCCGCTGCTCGCACTGCCCCCTTCCCCCTTCCCCCTTCCCCGCGCCATCGCCCCCCGACCGCGCGGCCTCGGGGCGGCCCTCAGGCTGCGCGGAATGAGGCCGCTTGGCACCTTTCGCAGAGGGCCCCCGCACCGATGCGCCACCGACATAATCAGCTGGCGCACCCGAGTACGTGGGCCTTGCCTTAGGCCGAGGGGCCCTGGGAAACTCGGCCCGAGGCCAGTATTCCTCAATGTCCGAGGCCATGGCAGCCCTGAGTTTGGCGAGCGGCCCAATGTCCCTTGCACCTGGAGCCGTCACGCACCATGCGGACCAACCACAGCTTGGCGCCTCTCGGTGACGATCTCCGGGGTTAATGCAATCCCAATCGATGGGGTTCAGCATATAATATCCCTCCTCTGCCATCGCCCGCCCGCTGACAGATGGCCACCATTCTGCGGGGGGAACCGACGGATTTTTCAGCGTCGCTGGCGCGCGGAGGTGTTCATTTTGGAATATGATCCACCTCCAGGCCAGCTTCCTCGTCTCCTCGACCTCGTAGGGATTCTGCGGCGGGGGCAACTCATCTTCTTGACATGTAGGCAACCAAGTGAAGACCGTCATGATGTTGCTGTGGAGCGCGGTCTTACCCTGAAGAGCGTTTTCCCGACGTCAGACAATCGTCTTCGCATGGGTCCCAAACCATTTATCATGCGCATTGTTCGTTGTGTTTTCGCTTTCCCTCGCGTTTGCCTCGAATCCACCTCTACCGCCAAACGAAGTCGAAGCGAAAACGGCCCACGATATCGCCAAACAACACCATTTGGGTCCAGCCCTTGCGCTGGACGCGACGCGATCAGCGTCTTCCCCGGCCCGTCTCTTCGGCCCGAGGTCGCGGACATCACCCGGGCGAATCTTCTTCTCAAGGCATATGCTTCATTTTGCTCGGTATCAACAATACTGCACTGTCTTCCGACATGCGAAGCCCATCAACGCCCCAATTCGGTCGCGGCAATATCTGCGGCACAGAAGGCACCCGTCATCCCAAAGATTAGGAGCGCATAGCGTCCTTCTTGTCTTTGGAAGCGAGCTCGTCGCCGTCGTCCTCGTTGGGCAGGCGGCGGATCTCACAATTCTGCTTCGCAAAATCAGCGCAAACCGCGCCGAGCTTAAGATGGACCAGCAGGGCCGCGAATCGTCGGTCATAGACCAACGTCCACGACGCCCGTGCATGCTGGATGCCCGACACAGTCAGCCGCGTAAATTCGTGGATATCCGTCCACTTAAGGCGAAACGTGTTGCCAGAGTGCCAGGGTGCCGCCATGCAGTATCCAGACGTCCTGGTTTTCAAAAAGACGAGGCTGGAAAATAACCAAATGCATGTCGGACAACGGATGCGGGTCATCAAGTTCGAAGACGCTGGCATCCAAGTCCTGGCCAGCCAGCGACCTCGCTCATCCGCCTGGTCTGAACCACCCTGGTAGCGATCCGTCTGCTTCGACGTTCTCGCCAATCTGCGTTTTCTCTGCAACTGTCCGCGCTCCGAAATCACCCCATTCCCAACTCCATACAACGGGTTCGTCGCGCGTAGCATACGGTCCCCTTTTAGTCGGAAGACACGCGATCGACCTATATTGGCAAATCCCCTGGAGATCGTTCTTCGGCGCTTTATGGCACCCGGTCATAGGCCGCCCCAATGGCAGCGTCATTCAGGGGAACGGCAATGGTTCTTGGGAATCTCGCGGCCGTTTCGCACCCGATGCGCATGCATTTAAGGTCTATAATCCGAACGGAATGACCCTTGTATGTACGCACACATCGACGACACCCGACCCAAAGGCGGCCAGACATGGGTTCCCTCATCGGCGTCATCTTCCTCCACTGTTTCGTCCCCAAAACTGTCCTCCCAGTCATCGGGCTCGGCGGTCGGACCCGGGCCCGCGCCTGTCAGATCCGCATCCAGGACCTGAACCGCGTTGGGAGGCAGTTGAGCGAGGGCGTGCACGAAGCGTGCCCACGCTCGGTCGCGCCTCTCGCCGTTCAACATCTTGACGATGACGCGCGCTTCAATCCACCCCCCTGAGCTGCGAACGTGAGCCGCGCTGTGCATCGCCAAGTTGACGATGAGCGAGCCGAGGCGTCCAGCTGCCTCCACGTCCATACCCGAATACCACGCCAGTCAGCGTCGCTCACTGAATAAATCCATCGGGATGAGACGGGAGTTCGACTGCGTTGAAACGGGCGCGCAGGAAGCGGCGAGCTTTTGCGGCAGCATCAGCTGTCAATCGACGAAGGTGTTCGAGCAATGGGTCACGGCAAATAGGCACGGCACGGCACGACACTCGGGCGGCAACCGCTGCCGACCCTAACCAGTAGGCACGGCACGGCACACGAGCAGGGCACGGCACGGCACGCGGGACGTAGATACATGTGCATATACATAGATAGATAGATAGATAGATAGATAGATAGGTAGATAGAGAGAGACAGAGAAACAAAAAAAAACGCGAGAGAGAGAGGACTGTCTCGCGTGGCAACATGATGGACCCACGAACGCGGAAAGGGATATAGACATGTGGAACATGGACACGTTTTCACGATACCCAACTGGGCAACACCTCACGAAACATCCCACGAGACACTTCACGAAACATCCCACGAGACACCTCACGAAACATTCCACGAGACACCTCACGAAACATTCCACGAGACACCCCGCGAAACATTCCACGAGACACCCCACGAAACATTCCACGACGACAGGCAACCACTCAACCAAGGCGGTGTGGTCGTGCTGGGGAGTGGTCGTGCTGGGGTGTGGTCGTGCTGGGGGGTGGTCGTGCTGGGGGGGGTCGTGCTGGGGGGGTGGTCGTGCTGGGGGGTGGTCGTGCTGGGGCGTGGTCGTGCTGGGGCGTGGTCGTGCTGGGGCGTGGTCGTGCTGGGGTGTGGTCGTGCTGTGGTGAGGTCGTGCTGGGGTGTGGTCGTGCTGGGGTGTGGTCTTGCTGGGGTGGGTCGTGCTGGGGTGGGTCGTGCTGGGGTGTGGTCGTGCTGGGGTGTGGTCGTGCTGGGGTGGGGTCGTGCTGGGGTGGGGTCGTGCTGGGCTGGGGTGTGGTCGTGCTGGGGTGTGGTCGTGCTGGGGTGGGGTCGTGCTGGGGTGTGGTGTGGCTGCGGTCGTCGTGCTGGGGTGGGGTCGTGCTGGGGTGGGGTCGTGCTGGTGCTGGGGTGTGGTCGTGCTGGGGTGTGGTCGTGCTGGGGTGTGGTCGTGCTGGGGTGTGGTCGTGCTGTGGTCGTGCTGGGCGTGGTCGTGCTGGGGTGTGGTCATGCTGGGGGTGTGGTCGTGCTGAGGTGTCCCGCACCCTGTGATTAATCGATCGGGATTTCAAAAACAAGCGTTTCGCCTGAGACATCCTCAAATTTTAATCCACCGGCCTCCTTCGACCTCGATATTTATCAGGGAAAGAATCCGCCGGCCTCCTTCAAGTTGGGCACCGGGGACATGTTTACATAGGAAAAGAGAACCCTGGGCCTATGCCCTTTCCTGGAAAAAACTGAAGAAAAAACGGGGCACGACGAGGCAAGACACGACACGCTGGCGGCACCCAGTTTTCCGCATTCCAGAGACGTGGCACGGCACGGCACGGCGACGCAAGCGGGCACGGCACGGCTCGCGGGGCTCGGGCGACACTTCCCCTGCATCCCAGGGGTCATGCATGGCACGGCACGGCAGCAACGTGTTCCGCATCCTGGGGGCGAGACTAGACCTCCCGAGTGGGATTGAAGACCCTTCTGTCCTTCGCTGCGTCGGCCTCCTCCGAGCACCGAACCGGGCGGGCCCCCCGCGCCCTCCTGCGGCACGGCCACGGCCTCTGGCCACTCGGGCGCGGGCGCGGCGATCTGGCCCGACTTGCGCGGCACCTCGCGCGCTCGGAGTCGCTCTCCCAGGCTGGCTGCACAGAACCAGGGTGGACTGCGGAGTCCTCTCCAGAAGGGCTCGATGTATAGACGCCCCAGCATCCCACACCTTTGGAAGTCGATGCGCCTGCACACACCAAGCCCCTTTGCAACCACACGACCAAGTGTACACATCGAGCCCTCCCACCTCTGGCGGTGCGCGGAAGGGGGCGGGGCGAGGGGGTGCCTTCTGAGAAAGCTTGGGGCAGGAGGCATCTGAGAAGGGCTCGGAGACCTCTGAGAAGGCTCTGTGAAAGGACGGCGAGCCTCTGAGAAGCCCTCTGCGTTCTGAGATGGCCGTCCCCCTCGCACCGCTCCCGCCCAAGACCCTCTCGAAACCGATCTCCAAAACCCTCCAGGGATCCATCCTGGCCCGTTTTTCTAGCCGCGTCCTGCCGTGGCGACGAGAGCCCACTCAAATTTGGAAACACATGCAAAACAGCGCCGTCGCCGGCGTCATCGCCGAGTCCCGCAGATCGGTCTTGGCTCTTGGCGTAGGGCTGCTCGGGCGCGGGCTCGACGACCTGGGCCAGCGTTTGACGCGCCTCGCCGCCGCCTTGGCGGGCTAGCGTCCGCAGCCCGACGGCGGCCTCGGGCGCCGCCTCGGCGCGGCATACATCCTGGCTTCGCGACGGCTCCAGGCCGCCTCACACTGCCAGAAAGCATCCACGTCCACGGCTGCTCTGGCCATGCCCTGGATGCCAGCAGGCCAGGATCGATTGCTAGCGCGCATGGCGCACGCCCCGGCCCTGGCGGGAGGAGCCGCCACGAGTGCCAGCGGTAATGAAGCCATGGCCTGGACCCCTTGGGAGCAGTGGCTGGGGCTGCCTCCCTAGAGGCCTCCGGAATGGGGTCCGAGTAGCTGGGGTCGGAAGATCGCGCCGCATCACCGATACAGCGGCGATGCATCCACGATGCATCGGCGATGCACAGGCGATGCACTGGTGACGTCGGCGATGCATCGGCACAATCGGCGTGGAAAAAAACGGCTACTCCGATCCGTTCTGGGAGGCCTGGACTGCCCGCCCCGACGGGGCGGCCAGGTGCCCACGTCCACCGCTCCTCGAGGGACCCTGCGGGGGGGGGACCCCGAGCACGATCCCGAGGCAGTGGGTGGGGCTGCACTCTGGCGGTGGCCGCCTGGCTGCGGGAGGCGGTCGAGCAGCTGGCGCACGACGCGCCCGTGCTCGCGCCGCAGCTCGACCAGCAGGTCGTCGAAGCGCGCAAAGCCGGCGTGCGGCCTCAACGCCAGGCCGCCTTCGCCGCCCGGGCCTGACGCCTCCGCTGAGGCCATTGGACCCGGAGGTGGGGATCTGTCGGACGCTACGACGCTAAGACGAAGCCAGGACGATCATGAAATCGAGCGAGGATGAATCGTGGATCTCTGAGATCTGGTGGCTCAGGAGGGAGGAGGAGGAGGAGGAGGAGGAGGAGGAGGAGGAGGAGGAGGAGGAGGAGGAGGAGGAGGAGGAGGAGGAGGAGGAGGAGGAGGAGGAGGGAGGAGGAGGAGGGGGAGGAGGAGGGGGAGGAGGAGGAGGAGGAGGAGGGAGGAGGAGGAGGAGGAGGAGGAGGAGGAGGAGGAGGAGGAGGAGGAGAGGAGGAGGAGGAGGAGGAGGCCTCGGGCGCCGCGGCCTCGCCGGAGCTTCCCAGAACGCTCCCAGAGCGTTCCGGAGGGCTCTGCGGCGGCTTCCTCGTCGTCCCGGCCCCGTCCGAGACGTGGCAGGGCCTCGGGGGCCCAGGAGCTTGAGCCCGACGGGCGGCGGAGCAGGAGCGGGCGCGGGCGGGCAGAGTTCTGCGTGCGCGCCTCCCGCTCCGCGGGCCGCCCGCCTGCCGCCCGGGCCGCAGGCGGAGCGGGCCGTCCGCGCGGACGGAAGGGGGGGGGGCGAGGAGAGGTGAGGAGCAGCAGCAGTCGGCCGCGCGCACAAACGGGTTGGGAGAGGGGGGGAGGCTTCTTGGAAGCAGGGTGTTTCTGAGAGGCCTTCCCCCCTCGCCCTGGCCCCCTTCTGCGCGCGGCCGCGCGGCGAGGAGCAGCAGCAAGCGGGGGGAGATCGAAACGACCTCCTGACCTTGGCCTGCGGGCAGGTGGGTTCCCGAGAGAAACAAGTTCAGTGCACCCGGGCTTCCCTCGGGTCACAGAGGGGGGCTAACTATTAGAGGTGCACTCCTGCGATCGTATGCTAATCTCGTAGCTCTGCGTTCACCTACGCCAGAGACGCCCAAAGCCCTTATCCAGACGTAACGCGCACTCAGCCACGATGGTTGTTACATGTTATGTGGTGCACCGGGGTCCGATACACACTCGCGTATCAGAACTTAGAACAACATTGCATGATCAGAGTGAGGGGGCCGAAAGGTCATTCATTGTGACTGGGTGCGTGGCTGAAGTGAGAATCCGTGGTGAGGATTATGTTTGTTGCGTCGTTGTTGTTGATATTGTTGATGTTGCTGTTGCTGTTGCTGTTGCTGTTGCTGTTGTTGTTTGTTTCTGTTGTTCGTTGTTTGTTATTTGCTGTTTGATGTGTTGGTTGTTGTTTGTTGTGTGATGTTATTGGTGATGGTGGTGGTGGTGTTGTTGTTGTTGTTGGTGGTGGTGGTGGTGTAATTGCTCTTGTTGAATTCTCACATCAGAAGAATAATTATTGTTGATCCCCCCCGCCGGTGCATACCGTTGTTGCTCAATCAAAGTGTGCCCCTCGACGCTCGCACCTTGTCTTTTATCTGGGAAAATCTTGAAGCTCAAACTGGGCCCCTGGCCCCCGGATTACAACAACGGCTCCCGCCTGAGACTTCCTTACAATTTAGCCAGGACCCCCTCTCCCGCCCGAGATTTCCTCGCATTTGATTCAGGAATCGCGCTTTCGCTTGGGACTTCCTTACAATTGATTCAGGAATCGTTCTCCCGGCACTCTGGCGTCGCGCTCTCGCTGGAGACTTGCTTGCTAACTACTGAAAAGCAACGCCCTTGCGGTGGAACGTCCTGCTATTTACTCAAGCGCCACGCTCCCGACACCCAGGCACCCAGGAGTCGCGCTCACGCTTAGGACTCCCTCACAGATTACCTAGGAATCGGGATCTCGCTGCCCGTCGTGGCCCCGTTGCAGCCTTTCGTGGCCCCTCTCGCTTTGTTTCGTGGCCCCGTTGCAGCCCTTCGTGGCCACGTCGCAGCCCTTCGTGGCCCCGTTGCAGCCCCTCGTGGCCTCCTCGCTGCCCTTCGTGGCCCCGTTGCAGCCCTTCGTGGCCCCTCTCGCTTTGTTTCGTGGCCCCGTTGCAGCCCTTCGTGGCCCCCTCGCTGCCCTTCGTGGCCCCGTCGCAGCCCTTCGTGGCCCCGTTGCAGCCCTTCGTGGCTCCCTCGTTGCCCTTCGTGGCCCCGTTGCATCCTTTCGTGGCCCTCTCGCTGCCCTTCGTGGCCCCATAGGTATACGTATGCCCTTCGTGGCCCTCGCTCGTTCGCGCCCGTGGTGGCCCCATATGCATGCCCTTCGTGGCCCCGCTGTCGCCCTTCGTGGCCCCTTCGCTGCCCTTCGTGTCCCCGTTGCTGCCCTCAGCGGCCCCGTCCTTACCCTCCGCGGCCCAGAAAACGTATACCCTCGTGGCCCCCGCTCGTTCGCGCCCATTGTGGCCCCATGTGCGTACCATTCGTGGCCCCGCTGTCGCCTGTATGGCCCCCTCACTGTCGTACGTGGCCCAGTTGCTACCCTCAGTGGCCCCATCGTTGCCTTCTGTGGCCCCGCATTATCTGCCCTTCGTGGTCCCCGCTCGTTCGCGCTCTTCGTGGCCCCATACGCATTCCCTTCGTGTCCCCGCTGTCGCCCTTCGTGTCCTACTTCGTGTCCTTGTGGCCCTGCTGTCGTTCTCTCTCGCTCTCGCTTTCGCTCGTCGTCGTCGTCGTCGCCGTCGTTGTCGTCGTCGTCGCCGTCGTCGTCGACGTCGTCGTCGTCGTCGTCGTGGTCGGTCCTCTGTCCGTCCCACTTGGGGTCGGGTCGACGGTCCGCGGCCGCCCCGCCGATCAGCGTTGCCGCTGGCCTGGCCGACGGTCCGCGGCCGCCCCGCCGCTTGCGGGGGCCCGGCCTGCAGGGAAGAAAGGTATACCCCCGAAAAGGGGTTCGCTCGAAGACGAAGAAGGCGGGCATCGAGGGTTGGGAAATATGCGTTATTGGACACTCGAGCAGATAAGGGCGAACAGTCTTAAATGATTGTTGTTGTTGGTGTTGTTGTTGTTTGTTGTCGTCGTCCCCCCCGCGACCCACCCGCGACCTACCCCGCAACCCACCCAGCGACCCACCCCGCGACCCACCCCGCGACCCACCCGCGACCCACCCCGCGACCCAACCCGCGACCCACCCCGCGACCCACCCCGCGACCCACCCCGCGACCCACCCGCGACCCACCAGCGACCCACCCCGCGACCAATCCGCGACCCACCCGCGACCCACCCGCGACCACCGCGCCCGGCGCCTGCGGCGGGCTCGTTGCATAATTTGTGAAACTTTGGCGCCTTCAGCGGGCTTCTCCAGAGTCTCGCAGACTGCCGACGTCCCCACCGCCCCCTCTCTCTTATCCGCATCTGTTGGGTGCTACGTACTTTGCATCGACAGTTCAAATCAGAGTGAGGGCTGTTGCCCGAGCGAGGTTATCGCATCCCTGGGCATGCGATGCTTGATTCGGATCTCTCGCTTCTGGGATGGACAGTGGGGACGGATACGGGGGATGGGCTCTGAGTGCGAACACATGGGACGGACTCAGGGGACGGACCCTGAGGATGGACACTGGGGAAGGACGCGGGGGACAGACTCCAGGGAAACTGGTCATGCAAGCCACGAGAACGTACTGGGGAGCAGGCGCGCACAGCCAAGCCTCGCAGTTGGCTTCACCCAAGCTTCTTGCAGGTTCTTTGTAGTGTGCGCACACCCATGGCTACTAAGGCGAAGGCCAAGACGAAAGGAAAGGCGCAATCGAGTCGACAACGTCAGGGTTTCGTTCGGCAGCCTCAAGACGCTACCAAGCAGCAGGATACCCGTACGGACACAAATCGGCACTATGACTGCTCAGCTTGTAAGGTCTCCCGCTGGGTCCCTCATGATGCGCCTGACGCCCGTACGATGAAATGTTGGATGGGACCGCGTGCTTTTTGCCCCTTCGGCCAGATACCTCGCAGACACGCGAAATGCGGCTTTCGGACGAACGCCCAGCGCTGGCGTGTGAGCCCTTCGTTGCCCTGTGACCGTGCTCAAGCAAGTGTGCAGGATGCGGTCCTTGCCACGGTGGCTGCCGTTCGTGCGGGCACGGACTGGCGGGACACTTCGGGACAAAGGTGGCCACGCACGCACGGCGCAAGATTCCACTGCGCGGATCTTTCGCTGACGGCTGCGTGGCGCAGGGGGTTGCCGGCGCATGGTTCCTCAGCGTGCCACCTGCCGCAACAGCTCGCTGCCTTTCCCATTCCATTCCCCCAAGCCCTCTCGCGCGCGCGCACGGACCAGCGCGCAACACGCACGCGCACGCGCACGCACGTACGTACTCGCGCACTCGTGCGCAGACCCGCACGCATACTCCCGCACGCACACCCAGCACGCGCACTCGTCTCACTGGTCCGCATCTTCGGGGGCCAATTCGAGAATCCACGCGCACCCATGTCCAGAATCAACCACATGTCTGATACCTATAAGACCACCTCTTGGTTGATGGGGAGGTCGCGGGGGATAATAGTATCATCTTTCATGCACATTCGCCGCACAGTTCAACTCACGAGTGGAAGCAGCATGAACATGCACCTGCCTGTATGTATTTAAGCATATGACTACATGTATGTGTATAGTCATTCGTGCATAGTCTTAATGGGCATCATGCGTCCGAAACTGTTCCACTTACATTGTGTCGAGCCATGCGCCGCTAGGAGTTGCTTAGGCTAAGGGTTATTAGCGAGACCTGGCGACACGCGTGCTCCGACACCTCCTCCTTAATTTTGCCTTCGCCCACGGCGCGCAGACGACGACCGCCTGCTGGCGCCAAGGAATCCGGCAAGTCGAGACTGCATCGCCATGAGGCGCTGGCAGGGCCTTGTGCGCTGCCTTGGTAGCTGCTCGTATGGTTTGCAGTCTTGGACCGAGCGGACCACGCTCTCTCCACTCTCTTGGGCGAGCCGATACGCGGGTATTCGACACGGTATGCCACGGTGTGTGCGCCGCGTGGTACTGGGAAAGGTACCCCCCGACGGCCACAAGCCTTGTCAGAGACTAAGGCTGTGAAGCCTGCGCGAGTGAAGCAGGAGCCATGGCGCTGAGGCACCCGCAGGCAACCACCCCATTCGAGCGGCAACGAGCTACTACGCACGGAGATCCTACTCTGATGCACTGCGGCTTCGCAGGGCGCATGTTTTGGTAGTCTGGCCTGGCAGACTGCCAGTTTCCCAAAATAGTGTTTGCACTTAGGGGTCCCTACTCCTGTTCTACAGAACTGGGCCTGGGTGTCGGTGAGGCGGCTCCCGGCTCGCCGTCGCCGCCCCGTCGCCGCCGCCTCGTCGCCGCTCGTCGTCCCTGTTTGGGTGTCGGTCTGGCGGTTCCGTGCTCGCCGTCGCCGCTCCGTCGCCGCCTCGTCGCCGCCCGTCGTGTGGGCCTGGGCGTCGGTCTGGCGGTGCCTCGTCGCCGCCCCGTCGCCGCCTAGATTGTACAGCATAGATTCTCCTTCTACAAAAGTATCGGTTCATCCATCCTCCCCCCCCGGACTCAAAGACCCTCTGGGAACCGACGCGAAACACATAGAATTCTGACCCATGTCCATCCGACCTGCGAACTCATACTATCCCAGCTAGGCCAGTATCGGCCCCCCCGCCATCCTCTGCAAAAAACTACTATGCGCGCGCACTCGTTGATCAAAAATCAAAAATTGCCCCCCCCCTCAGAAAAAAAAATCCCTGGCAAAAAGAGAGTCGAAGTGCACACGCGCGCGGCGTCGCGCGCGCATGCCGAAATCCTTCAAAAACTTCAGGTTTCGGACGGATTCCAAAATCGAGTTTCCAAAACAAACATGCAAAAACACAGGGTTCTCAGCTCGGATTTACCCCAAAAAGCTTACGCCCGCGCTCTTGCGAAATCTTAGGAGAACCAACGGTGTTTCAAGATTTTCAGAGAATGCTACCAAACGGGCTTCGCGCGCGCGCATGTCGAAATCTTTCGAACGCCCTTGCGCGAATGCCGTCGCGAGAACCCTCTGCAAAAAGCGGGACGAAGTGCACGCGCGCGCGTCGTCGCGCGCGCATGCCAGAATCCTTCAAAAACCCAGGGTTTCGGACGGATTTCGAAATCGAGTGCCCAAAAAACATACAAAAACACACGGGTTCGCAACACGGATGTTCAACAAAAGCGTGCGCGCGCGCTCTTGCGTCGTCGTCGTCATCGTCGTCGCCGTCGTTCCTCCTCCCCCGTCGTCGTCGTCGTCGCCTACGTCGTCGTCTGTCGTTCCTTTTCGACGTCGTCCTCCTCTTTGGCGTCGTCGTCGTTTCCGTCGTCGTTGTCGCCGAGGTCGTCCTTCCTCCTCCCTCGTCGTCGTCGTCGTCGTCGTCCGTCGTCGGCGTATTGTCGTCGTCCCTCCTATTTCGTCGCCGTTGTCGTCGTCGTCGTCGTCATCCCTCCTCCCTCGTGGTTGTCGTCGTCGGCGTCGCCGTCCTCCCTCCTTCGTCGTTCGCGTCGTCGTCGTCCTCCCTCCTCCCTCGTGGTTGTCATCGTTGTCGCCGTCGTCGTCCTCCCTCCTCCCTCGTCGTCGTCGTCTTCGTCGTCGTCGTCGTCTCCGTCATCATCGTCGTCGGCGTCGTCGTCGTCGGCGTCGTCGTCGGCGTCGTCATCGTCGTCGTCGGCGGCGTCATCGTCGTCGCCGTCATCGTCGTCGTTGTCGGCGTCGGCGTCAACGTCGTCGTCATCGACGTCGGTGTCGTCGTCTTCGTCATCGTAGTCGTCGCTGTCGTCGTCGTCGAAGTCGTCGGAGTCGTCGTCGGAGTCGTCGTCGGTGTCGTCGTCGGCGTCGTCGTCGTCGTCGTTGTCGCTGTTGTCGTCGGCATCGGTGTCGTTGCCAAGTGCCATGTGGTACCTACCGTCACGGTCTGAAGGGTTGGTGGGATGTTTGCACGAGCAATGGAAAAGGACAGCTTCAAGACAGTTCAAACGAATTCTCCTTTCTTAAAAAAATAGACTCTACCCCCCCCCCGGACTTAACGCTACCCCCTGGGATAATATACTTTCATATATTTTCTGCACACTCGTCCATCTTAAATATGAAATCATACCACCCCAGCTAGGCCGCTTTCCCCCCCTCTGAGGTTCCGTTGTAAAAAACACTATGCGGTGACATTTTTGGTTCTAACATAACACTTTGTCGCGAATCCCTTGCAACAAATGGGACGAAGTGCGCACGCGCGCGTCGTCGCGCGCGCATGCCGAAATCCTTCAAAAACCTTCGGTGCCGGAAGGGTTTCGCAATCGATTGTCCAAAAAAACATACAAAAACACATGGTTTCGCAACACTGATTTGCTAAAAAAGCTGCCGCGCGAGCTCTTGCGAAATCTTAAGAAAACCATGGGTTTTTTCAAGATTTTCACAAAATGCTACCAAACGGGCGTCGCGCGCGCATGTCGAAATCTGTCGAACGCCCTTGCGCGTGTGCCGTCGCGAGAATCCTCTGCAAAAAATGGGACGAAGTGCAGACGCGCGCGTCGTCGCGGGCGTATGCCAAAATCCTTCAAAACCCATCGGTTTCGGAAGGATTTCGAAATCAGGCGTCCAAAAACCCTACAACAACCCAAGGTTTCGTAACACGGATTTTCAACAAAAGCGTGCGCGCGCGCTCTTGCGTCGTCGTCGTCGTCGTCGTCGCCGTCCTCCCTCCTCCCGCGTCGTCCTCGTCGTCGTCGCCTACGTCGTCCTCTGTCTTTTCTCGTGTTCGTCGTCGTCGTCCTCTTTGGCGTCGTCGTCGTTTCCGTCGTCGTTGTCGCCGTGGTCGTCCTTCCTCCTCCTCCCACGTCATCGTCGTCGTCCGTCGTCGGCGTCTCGTCGTCGTCCATCCTATTTCGTCGCCGTCGTCGTCGTCGTTGTCGTCGTCGTCTTCCCTCCTCCCTCGTCGTTGTCGTCGTCGGCGTCGCCGTCCTTCCCCCTTCGTCGTCGTTCGCGTCGTCGCCGTCCTCCCTCCTCCCTCGTCGTTGTCGTCGTTGTCGTCGTTGTCGCCGTCGTCGTCCTTCCTCCTCCCTCGTCGTCGCCTTCGTTGGCGTCGTCGTCGTCTTCGTCGTCGGCGTCGGCGTCGTTGTCGTCGTCGAAGTCGTCGGAGACGTCGTCGGTGTCGTCCTAGTCGTTGTCGTCGGTGTCGTCGTAGTCGGTCTAAAGAGGTTTTGCAAACCAAGTTGCGGGTGGGTGGGTGGGATGTTTGCGCGAGCAGTGGTGATGACGACTTCAAGTTCAGCAGAGCGGATTGCACCACATAGATTGCACCGCGCTTGCACCACATAGTGTGCACCACACCAACTGCACTACATATATTCATAATGTAGATTGCACCATATCGACTGCACCATAGATATTCCCTTCGCTCAACAAGAATTCGTATGTACCCCCCTCCCTGGGAATATCCCCCTCTGCGGCCGTGCAAGTCACAAATGTTTCTGCCCCATCGCCCATTCGAAATACGAACTCCGATGGCCCCAGCCACACGGGGTCCGACCCCCCCGAACCATTCGTTTTGTGCAACAAATCCGATGCGCGCATTCATTTACCAAAGAATCACTAACGTTAAAAAACCCTTGCAAAACATAGGCTGAAAGGCGCGCGCGCGCGCCATCGCGTGTGCATGCCGAAGCCCGTCGGAAACCTCAGGTTCCGCATGGTGTTCAACGTCGGGTGCCCCGAAAACATATGAAAACGCATGGTGTTGGAACATGGGATTCCTAATCCAATCATGGGTTTTATGACATGTTGATCGAAGGCTCTCGCGCGCTCAAGTCGAACTCATTCCAAGGACCTTGCGCGCGCTGGCAGGGCATGGTGCCGGCCAAATCATACCCTGCGGGCCACTCGCGCCTGTTGGCTGCGCGCGTATGTCGAAACCGGTCCAAGACGTTCAGGTCGAAATCTGCCCAAAAATCTTCATCACCGACACGTGGGCACCATCGTCGTCACCAGCGTGATCAACACCGACGCCGTCATGTGCCTTGCCGTCGTCATCGTCATCGTCGTCACTAGCACCAGTGCAATCATAATCTTGTCAGCCGTTGTCGACGTTGGCATGATACCGCGCCCACCCAATTCACCGACTCGCACTGAAATGCCCGCGCGTCAGCGCGGACTGTGAGACGCGCTGGGAAGTCCCCAGCGGTCAGCGCAACCGCGGCAGTGTCGGTCGCGCAAGACTAGCTGGCCACTCTGCGCGCGAGCCTGCGCGCGCTAGCGCGGCCGCAGCGATGCGCCAGCCAGCAGCAAGCAGGCATCACAATTGTCGCCTCAGACCAAGTTGCGGGTGGGTGGGTGGGGTGGTTGCGCAAGCAGTGGAGTTGTCAACTCACTAGTGAGCATTGGTCAATTCTCCTTTCTAACAAGAGAATAGATTCTACCCCCCTCCCCCCCCGGCGTTATCGGTCCCCCTTTCGGGTATGTAAATCAGATATGATTCTGACCACATGTCCATCCTAAGTATGAATTTACACGATCCCCGTGGGGCCGGTATCGACCCCCCTGACGTTCCCTGGAAAAAACTATACGCGAGGACATCTTTCGTTCTAACATAACACTTTTTCGCGAAACCGTTGCAACAAATGGGACGAAGTGCACACGCGCGCGCCGTCACGCGCGCATGCCGAAATCCTTCAAAAACCTTCGGTGTCGGAAGGATTTCGCAATCGAGTTTTCAGAAAAAAACATACAAACAAACATAGTTTCGCAACACTGGTTTGCTAAAGAAAGCTTCCGCGCGAGCTCTTGCGAAATCTTAAGAAATTCAAGATTTTCGCAAAATGCTACCAAACGGGCGTCGCGCGCGCATGTCGAAGTCTGTCGAACGCCCTTGCGCGTGTGCCGTCGCGAGAATCCTCTGCAACAAAAAGCGAAGTGCAGACGCGCGCGTCGTCGCGCGCGTATGCCGAAATCCTTCGAAACCCATCGGTTCCGGAAGGATTTCAACATCGTGTGCCCAAAAAACCTGCAAAAACACAAGGTTTCGCAACACGGATTTTCAACAAAAGCGTGCGCGCGCGCTCTTGCGTCGTCGTCGTCGTAATCGTCGCCGTCCTCCCTCCTCCCGCGTCGTCGTCGTCGCCTACGTCGTCCTCTGTCTTTCCTCGTGTTCGTCGTCGTCGTCCTCTTTGGCGTCGTGGGCATTTCCGTCGTCGTTGTCGCCGTGGTCGTCCTTCCTCCTC